GATTCAAAATTAAAAAAAGGACTTTAAATAATTCTGCTTCTAAAATATACGAAGACCACTAGTAATTATTTTTAGAAATAACATATTAGGTACATTTCTTTATCTTAAAAAAGGCCTGCTGAAGACAATTCCATGTCCTTTTTTTTTTTTAAAATGTAATGATTTTTATGTGGATATATGTGTTATGTGGCATTTTTGAATGTGACTAATCTTGTTAAGCTAAAGCAAACATGGTTGAAACTTTTATTCATGCTGAACACTGTTTCAAGCTTTTTGATACTACCATGATAAATACAAAACTATAAATGGAAGTCAGCTGACAGAACATATTTATCACATAAAACACACTTACAGTAACCACGTGTGCATTGTCTTAAAGAGAATTTTTCTTATGATACAGCTAACCTGTATATGGTCATCACATATAAATATATAAGGGAAATTGACATTGTCTTTTAAAAGTAAATTTCTATCTGTCATGATTGAAACCATGGCCCCCATCCGACATTACTATTGAATTTCTTCATCTTTGACTCACTAATCCTTTAAATTTCAGTTGCAAATGGAATGCAGAATGAGAAAAAAGACAGGGAAGAAGAAGAAACATTACCTGTTTTCCTAGTTTTCTAACTGTAAACCAGTGTTCTTTATAATTGCATATAAATGATCTTTCATTTCTAGAAAAGAAAAAAAAATACAGACCCAATATTAAGTTGAAATATTAGAGTTCATAATCCTTTAGTTTCTCTACTGGCAAGTACTATACAAAACCTACAATGATTTAGAATTATGTTTACAGTTAAGTATCACTGATTTTTAAAAATTACTAAACAGAATGAATCTCTCTGCAGATTATCAACGCTCTGCAAAAACGATGGCATCACACAGCATTAAAGGATCAGCTCTGTGCCACCAGACACTGAGCTGCCAGGAAGGGGACATGCTTAGAGGGCATGTGTTCATGGATATCCCCAAAAGGCGAAATAGGGAATGAAATAGAGCACATCAAAATGAAGGCATTCAAAATACATTTGTCTTAAGAAATTATAATTTTAACAATCAAATATAAGAAAAGAAATGTAGGAAAAGCAAAATAAAATCTTACATGGGATCGATCCCAAGCCTCTGATACTCTGGACTGTTGAACAGGATTAGTTCTAAACCCCAAACTTTCAAGGCATTGCTTATAACCTGTGGGGAAAAAAAACTGTAAGTTTTCATGAGCTAAACCATTCAATTCCAAATGTAAGTAGGGTAGCCAGGTTAGTTGTGTAAACAATTGTACTGTTCACACATCAATTTCCCCAGAAAGCTATGGGTCTTTTTTTTGGTTTGTTTTTAGGCGAGGCAACCCTTGGTTGACCTCACAGATTGCAAGGACCTATCAGCTTACAATCCTTTATTATTTTTTTTACACCTACAGCACCTGCTCTTCCTAAGTGGTCTCCCATCCAAGTACTAACCAGGCCTGCCCCTGCTTAGCTTCCGAGATCGGACGGAATTGGACTTTTTCAGAGTGGCATGACCGTAGTCAGAAAGCTATGGTTTTTAATAAGTATATGCAGGTGTATAGATATATCACTAAATCTATAAATAATCTATAAATGTAGCATTAAAAGAGTGCTTTTTCACACTAGGTTTCTGGGATATTCCAGAGAATCATACAATTCTTAGATAAAATTGCCTCAAAAATCCAGATGTATATTCTATCTAGTAAGTGCTATCCTTAAAACCAGTCCACTATACATACATACATACATACATATACATATATACATACATAAATACATATACATATATATACATATGGAAATCTGGCTGCTATGGGTCCTGCTTTAGAAAAATTATATTTCAATTTTATTTGAATTACTATTACCTGATGTCAGTAAATAGTAATAATTATATGTCTATTAAAATGAGCTTTTTCTAGAGTTAAACCGAAGCGTCCATAGATTTTAAACTTCTATTAACATAAGTTTGTAATTAAAAATAACAATAATAACAAAAAATAAACGTGCTTATTTCAAACTGCCTGGGGGAAAAGAAGGGAGATTTCTGAATCACAACCTATCCTCCAAGGCAGCCAAAAAAGAAGCAACTGAACCAGGTAGAAGCACAGACAAGAAAGTGAAAGCAATGAATGAATGTAGTGGGCAAATGGGAATCAGCACCAAGGGCAGCACCCCAGGGCAGCCCCGCAAAAGAAATGGCAAGGGCTGGGCCACCCCGCTGTAGCTGTTACCTGTAGCAGTCCACAGGAAGCAATGAATGGAAATGTTGGTGAATGAGGAGTCCAGAACAATATATGGGGAATGCAAACAAAGAAATCTGCAGAAATAGGTCCCTCAAGAGAGGTTCTGAAAAACTCTGGATATACCTCCCAGGTGTCAAACTGAAAGACCCACAGATAAAATAGTTTCATAAGTAATATAGCTTCCTTTGAATTTT